AGATAAATGACATTTTCCTCCACGTTCACCTCCGACTACTTCATTACTCCATCCTCGTGCAGCTGCTCATAAAGTCAAACTGTTCCATTAAGTCTAATGACCTCCAGTTAGTGACACCTGTTATAGAGCTGCGTGTAAGAGATCAGCATGACAGACTTTTTAAAAAACTATTTAATTGTCATTTCTTTTAATAGTTTTTTTTTTTTTTTTTGCTTAGTCATCAGTGTCTGTGTCCAGTAAATTAGATCCTGTTTATTCTCACATTATTTATTGCAACAAAGCAGTGATTCTGAGCTGCCAACCTTGGGCCGCGCTGCTCAGGGCCCCACGTTGGCCCCCGCAGTCGCACACTGTTGCACTGTTGATAGTCAAAAACACATTAACCGTGCGCGCCCACTCCAGGAGAAATCGCCTTATTTACCTTATCAGAGCATTTCTTTATGACGCTAATTAAAGTGGAGAACAAGGACACTGGCTGCTTTCTAATTTGAGTTTTATTGCTGAGTCTGGATTCCCGCTGTCGCCAGCACCTCGGTGTAAAACTTTTTTGCTGTGTGTAGATTGACTTTGCACTTTGTTAAAGATACATCCCTCTTGATGGCGCAGCTGCTATGTGAACCCACGCCTGCGATATTGATGTTGCACTTAAAAAAAGAAACTACAAAGTCAACCGAAGACGCGTTCAGCTGTCCCTGATTTACAAGGTAGAAAAAGCCTTAAATATATTTGGATGGAAACACATCGACGGCACAATATATATTATTTTATGGAAATTATATTACGGGTGAATTCCCCTTGAACTTGTTACTGATCTCCAAAAAAAAAATATATAAATATAAATAAACAAACAAAAAGTACTATACACAATAAAGCTTAAAAGAAACTGTGATCTTCTTGTACAGGGTAGAAGCACCAGCCACATCGCCACCTTGTGGCCTATGTGGCCACTGTACCACCTGAGAAAACACTGATGACCAACAGTAGAATATAGGAGCACAAGCACAGGAGAGATGTTTATAAATGTTTATAAATGTTTATAAATATTTATAAGATGTTTATGTTTAAATGTTGTATTAATTGTGCATGGTATGTTTTCAGATTAATTCAATTAAAAAATTTAAATGTGAAAATATAAATTTTCCCGGCATACCACTAGAAAGCGCTCGCGTACCAGCGTACCACTAGAGAGCGCTCGTGTATGACCAATGGTACACGTACCACAGTTTGAGAACCACTGTATTACACCATATAAACTAATGAGTTTAGTGTCAGGATTATTATGAAATACATTAAAAGCATATGATAAAAAAAAAACTTTTTTTGAAGATCTGAATCCTGACGTCTGGTGATCTCTCCTCCAGAATCGGGGGCTCCATCCCTATAGTGTACACCTACTTCACTGAGTTCCTGCAGATGGATAAACGTGGAGAACATCTGAGTTGGCTGTGCATGTTCTGGATGCTGGGAGGCTTGTACGCCTCCTTCACTGCCTGGGGAATCATTCCTCACTATGGTAAAGGAACGTTTCCTCATTAGCCTCTCACCCTAACTCAGATCCATCCCATAATCTTATCCTGAATCCAGACTGAATCTTGAACCTGAAAGCACCACAAAATAAAAGTTGTCTCCACAAGTATAGCTGTCAAGGCTACAAACACACACAGTTAGGTGAAGTTCGACAGCAGAGAATGTTTACTTTACTCTGATTTTAAATTAATGAAATGTTTCTCTCCAAAATGTCAGAGTCCATCCTTCAGACAACGGCAACAGCATCATTTTTCATTCAGTTTTTTTTTTCTTCACGACTACATTTAAGATGTTTTCTCCCTAATTACACACCATATGTGAATAATTGATATAACGGTGAGTAAACATCTTCACTGTGACGACAAAAATCCACATCAGTTTTTGGGGGAAATGCACAAACACAGCCACACTTGCTGTCGTCTGTCGTCTTTTCAAACTGACGAAGCCTTTCAAATGCAAATGTCTGCTGATCTGCTGCTCAAATGATGTTTTGCAGTGAAACACTTAGACAGTGAAATCTGTTTTGATGTTGTCTGTGTGTGATGCTTTGATTTTGGAAGTGAAGTTGCTCTTCTGAGATTTTCTCTTCCCCTCTCTGTGGCTCTGTGGTTGCGGGATGTCGTTCCAGGTTGGGGCTTCGCCCTGGGTACGGAGTTCCAGATGCACAGCTGGAGACTGTTCATCCTGGTGTGCCTCTTCCCCGCTCTGGCTGCTCTCGTCGGAGTGGTCCTGATGCCAGAGAGCCCGCGTTTCCTCCTGGAGGTGAGGCTCTGGACCCATGTCAGGAGTTACACTGTTACCACCGTTAGACAACACGTTGTTAAGGGTTCAAATGCTGAGTCATCAGACTCCACAGTGACATCCCACTGCGGTGCTAAGGTAGTACAGGGCTGTGAAGACGTTAGCAGGACCGCGCCGCCCTGTTCCTCCTCCAGGACCGTGTCAAAGCTTTGACCACATGTGGTTTGATGTTTGTATGTCACTGCCTCAACATGTTCCTCTCAAACCCATCACATTTATCACACAATACTCTGATAATGAGAACATTTAAACTCACAATGAGAATTAAATACATGTTTAAAACTTTTGTTTTTAACTTTTAATTACTGTGTGCACGTTTGTTTTTTCTTGCACACTGCTGGGATTTTAATTTTCCTGAGTCTAATCTAATCTCTGAGATGATTGCAGTATAAAAATAATTTAATTGAATTTACTCATATTAATTACTTTTTTTAAATTATTATAATTTCTTTTTTAAAAAATGTTTTATTTTAATATCCTTCTTTCAGTTATCTTTCTTTAATGGAATCCCATGATGCCACATGTGCTGTGATGTTTGTCTATTACCGCCTCAACATGATCACATCAAATCCTTCTCTGATTAAAAAACCTCCTCCTCAGGAGGACAATGAACTCATCTGGCTGTTGTGTAAATGACACAGTCGTCAGCATAAAGCTTTAATTGAATTTCCCTTTAAAATGGACCAAATTATGAGTCAAAGTGGAAAAAGAAGACAATGAACCTGGAAAACCTCCTCTGAGGTCGTTCTTTTTTTTTTAATACCGTTCCAAACAAACAATGAGTCTATTGATTTCCACCAGCACAATAAGTTTACATGGCTGCTGTGAGTGTGTTCTGCTGCCACCTTGAGGTCATTCCGTCCTAAAACAGGACTAGTTTAAAAAGGTTGACTGTTCTTTTTGCTAATTTTAACAAAGTAAACAATAAAAAAGAAATTCTAACTTTTCGCTATAGTTAAAATCAAGTTTATTTTATTTACTTTTTTTGAGGAAGATAACAGACATCTGTGATGACGGGAACCATAGCATGAGAACCATCGCAGGAGGGACCTAATAACATAGGGTTCTGCAGTAGCTACAGCTTTTATTTATGATTCTTATATTGTATCATTATTTTCAGGGCAACACTGACATATCGAACACCAAAGTAAACAGTTGCTTTAAAAAAAAAGAGAGAAAAGTCTTCCACCTGTATTTGATTAAAAAAAAGAGAGAGAGAGAAAAGTCTTCCACCTGTATTTAATATCGACATATCGAACACCAAAAGTAAACAGTTGCTTTAAAAAAAAGAGAGAGAGAAAAGTCTTCCACCTGTGTTTGGTTTTCTGATCAACAACACAATCTAATCATTTCTTCCTCGGGCTAAAAGGCACATGCCCAGAAAACGTAATCAGAATCCACTCCTAACTGTTTGTTGCACAAAGACCAACAGACAAATGTTGCCAAGGTCACGGTGACCTTGGACGAGGTCACGGTGACCTTGGACGAGGTCATGGGTAGAACTGTCCAAAACTCATGAGAGAACACGTTAGCGATCAGGACAGTTATCATTCCACACCAGTTTGTGTGACTTCGTTGTTTTGTGGTTTTTCAGTGCGCCCGACACGACGAGGCCTGGATGGTGCTGAGAAAAGTTCACGATACCAACTGGAAGGCCAAGGGGGAGCCAGAGAGGGTTTTTACCGTAAGGACATTCATGTCTCTCACTGTAATGTTCTTTTTAAATTACAGTGTGTTTTTCTGTACAGCAACACATTTTCTTTATGTTATTGATCAACACACATTGACCGTGTGGTTCGTGCTCTCGCCTTACAGCAAAAAGCTCATTGGTTCAATGCCCGTAACTGAGGGTCTTTTTTTTTATTATTACCCTGTGTGAGCACGGAGTTCTTCAAGTTCTCACGCAAAACCACTGAATATATATGTAGTTTAGCTCATGATATATTGTACTTCAAAATGCATGCAACACATATTTTGTATCTGATACAACATTCATTGAGCCTGTGGAAACACAGCTTCATTTTTAGGCCCAGTGAACAGAGCGAGGTTGGTTTCAAATTGTAGGAAGAAGAAGAAGAAGACTCGTCTGAGCATATCGTACACGTGCAGTACAAGTGTGAGCAGCAGGTCGTGTAATTAAAAAACAGATAAAGCTCGGGGCAGTAAATATATGTAGAGTAACTGTTTACAGAAAACAGACAAAACACGTGTTTCATAGATGTCCCAGGGAGGATGGCTTAGAATATGAAATACGTAGAAACTCCACAGGCATTACTTCCTTATGAAGTACAGTGTAGTATCTCAAAAACGTCAGGTTGATAAAATTGTGGCTATTTTTTTTTAAAGGTGTCAAACATCAAGACCCCGCAGACACAGGAGGACGAGTTCATAGAGATCCAGAGTGACACCGGTACGGCCTTCCAGCGCTGGACGGTCAGACACCTGACCATGCTGCAGCAGGTCCACTCAGTCTTCTCGTTTATTGTACATTTTAAAACTTTCCGTCTTTAGGTCATGGCCAACATCATGTCGTTGTCTGCTCCAGATATCAGACTGCAAGGTCTGTTACTGGTCATCGTCTGGTTTGTCATTCAGTACCATCACATAGAATGTCCAACGTACACACTACTACAGTATATACAAATATCGCAGATAGTGTGGGCCTAGAGCCA